CTCGAAAAAAAAAAAAAAAAAAAAAAAACACGCTAGTTTTAAAATAATTTCTTTAAAAGACATGCCCTTCCTGATGAAAAAAAAAAAAAATCGCCGTAATATATAACGTTTTAATTTCAGTGTGGAATATTTTGTCAGCTGATTGAAAACAGAAATATTTTCTAACACATCTCTCTCTCTCTCACACACACACACACACACACACACACACACACACACACACACACACTCATGATCACGTCCTTCAAAGACCAGGGCATGCTTTTGACCACGAAATCACCTCTCTTAACACTTGTTTGGTCAAGTACTTCAATTTATTTGCTAACTCGACGTTTAAAAAGTCCTAAAAAAAGAGCACCAAAAACTTGTACAAATTAAATTTTTTGTGAACTTCTCGACAGACCTCTAAAAAGATATCCTTTAAAATTTCGAGAGAATACGCATGCGTCAATTATACTGACCTCTGGCGGGACGGGCGGGAAGGGGATGTTCTCTATACAGTGATAAGACTCATCGCTTGTACACGGCATGACCAGCTTGAAGTCGTTGTGCCTGGTCTTAAATTCGACCCCATTCAAGACGGCGGAGATCTCCCCCATGCCCACGGTTCTATCGTAATTAGCATGATCGTGGTAGGCTGCTACGCTGTCTCGCACGTGGGAGGGCGTGTGATACGGGCGCGTGCCTAAAAATAAAGATCTTTTTTAATTTTCTTATTTTCGTGAAAACGAGGGCCGAATTTGAAGGTGGAAGTTGGATGGGCGCACCCAGTAAAAAATATATATACACGCAAAACTCACACGTAAACGTTATGCACGAATGTACTCACACATGCTGTTACCGTAAACAAATGCACACATACACAAGCATACATTCAGGCAAGATCACATACACACGCACGTACGCGCACAAACAAACCGGAACACACGCACATAAACACAGGGAAACGTGAGGCAGGATAAAAATAACCAATGGTGTTTGGTGAATCAAACTGACATCAACCTTATATCCCCAAAAACATTTTTCATGTTAAAATTGAGCATCTGATCTCAAGGTGATCTTTTTTTAAAGTAGTCACAAAAATATAACCTTAAGCAAACACTCGATAGCCTACACATAAACTGACACTGATTTTAAGAGTGGTGATTTCTTACCGGCAATATCCATTCGAATCTGCTTGATTCCAGACGCCCCGTCGAACCTCGCTTTCTCCTCTACTATCAACTGCTGCATCATCAGCTGGTTTGCTAGGAGATCCACAACGTTCTGGAAAGATGAAAGGCAGTGGCGAATTTCTAAATAAATCACACCAATAGTGCCCTCTTGGAATTAGGTCCCCTCTAGAATTTTCACTAGCTGAACCATACATGTAGGTCCAGGGCCAGTAGGAGGGGGTGGGGGGTGGGGTGGGGGTGGGGGTCCAGGACCAGCTTCGCTTCCGAGGCCTGTCTTTATAAAAACCGGACACCCCCCCCCCTTCAAATAATCCTGGATCCGCCCTGAAGGGGGTTGCTATTTGTCAAATATGATGTGCAATATATAGTTATCAGGAAATATTCAAAACATTTAAACGGGGATTTGAACGGAGTTAAGAGGAAATTTTATATCCAACGTGGTTTGAAATTTATTCTCATAATATTTATAAAAAAATATGAAAGAAGTAAATTTAGAGGTAATTTTCAGTCAAACATGATTTACAACTAATCATTATCAATGAAATGATTTAGCGTCGGAACAAAAAGTTGAATGAGATAAGAAAATTGTGAGGTAAACTTTATTTGTAACCTATCCTTATTATTTATTTAAGCAGAAAAAATTGTGAAAAGAACAATGATATTAGCAACATTTTCTCTCGTAAAAATAACTTCAACCGATATTTCAATAATGATTTAAAAATGCTACCAAATTCGACATCGTTTTAAAGAGATGGAAGTTGGCAAGGCAATATCGTTAAATAACCGAAAATAAAACAGTTTACAAAACCAGACAATTACTTACGTTGGCATAGTATTCCCACTTAATTAATTATCTTTACCTTTAAATCTTGAACCATAGAACTTATCTCTGACAACGTAGGTGATGCCTCAGCGTCCTGGCTCTTGACATTGTGGATGACCACAGCCATGAGTGGTAAGAGAAGACTCCAGAGAAATTGCGTCTTCATTCTTTCGCGTCGCTCTCCCAAAGCCAAAGTGTGCAATTCTGCCAGTCACGCACAGTCTGTTGGGTTTGAATTATTTGCCGAAACCCTTTCAATTTACATACAACGAAAACAACTGCCATGCGGGCTTTGTAAAATAATCGCTTCACGCAGATTATCAGGTGCAATATTATTTCAAATTGGCGATTGATTAATTACTTGCTTCATTCATTCATTTGAATACAAATTGATTGAAATATTTATGCATTTACATATTGACTCCTGATTTTGGTTTATCTGTTTTTTTCCATTCATCTCAATAACTTTTATTTTATTTTTTCGTGTACTTTGCTTCCTTTATTTATTTATTCATAATTAGACCATTATCATTCTCAGAAATGGGACACTAACATTAAAATAACAAAAGCAAAACACAAATAACACTCTGGGATAGAGCTGTTGTTATTCTCCAGTCAGTTTCATCGTCCTTTGCGTCTGATAGTGATTGAACAACAGACCAGACGTGCTATTATATATATATATATATATATATATATATATATATATATATATATATTGAACAAAGCATTATGTAACACAACTGTGACTATGATGGCAGTTTCACACACAGCAGCTGTTTTTCATACTTGATTATTCAATGTCTGTATTTTCATATATACCTTTGTGTTGTGTTGGTAAAATTTTTTTATTCCTCACTCAATGTTCACATGACAAGCGAGTTGCTGTTGTATTTTTAAATTCCCGGTGTTTTAAAAAATCTTGAATGTTAGACTGTTGTTGAATTTCTCTCTTATTTTCAGCACCTATTTTGTAAATGCAACGTGTTATTTTTGTCATATATTTATTGTCACTGCTTTGCTTGAAATGAATACTGATTAAACATGGGATACGAGAGAGGGAGAGAGAGAGAGAGAGAGGGAGAGAGAGGGAGAGAGGGAGGGAGACTACAGCTTTCAAATGCATGTACATGTATTTCATGAGAGAGAGAGGGGGGGAGAGAAAGAGATTTCCCACGAAAGTTTTGGTCTGAAGCATCAGTCACGTCTCTAGAGCTTCATTTCTGACTTCATTTTGGACAACTTCCAATTTCTCTTGTATCAAAGTTTTATCAAATATTAGTCTAAAAGATTATACCCAGGGGCGGATCCAGGGTCATTTTCTGACAGTCTTCCAATTTATCTTTCTTGGTCCATCCTCCATTTTTGACCGTCTTCCGACAGAAAAAATTAGATACCCATCAACGTAAAGTTGAAAATCTGACCGTCTTCCGGAAGACCCAGAAGACGCCCTAAATCCGCCCCTGATACCATATATCTTATACCCCTTTTCCTATTATTGTTTTAAATTTTTAGTCTTAAAATTTTAAACTAAACTTGATGAAGACACATCCGCACACAGCCTCTACAGACCACATCCCCGAACCTGTCCAAGAGTGTAGGCCAGATGTATCTCTCTATTACGGCGGTGGCGTGAGAGCCACAGACATCATTTTCCACTGCGTGTTTGCTACCGCTGTATACAGTATCCTCTGCATCGAGGATCAAATGGTTGTTAATTATACGCCAGGTTGTTTTTAGACATGAGTCAATGTATGCCAGAGTCTGCGTAAATTGTGCAATATCCTTTTCAGATGACAGCGTGGTTTTTTCAAGTATTTGCTGAAAAGCAACACAAAGACGGGAATGTAAATTTGAAATGCAAGCAACGTAAGTGTTATACTTGAAATGTAAGAAGAAATAGTTGGATTACACATAGTGCTATGGACACATCAAGCTTAGCATAAGAGTATGCATTGGTCTTGTAAGACTTCCCAGTAAGACTGGCGCTTTTGGTACTGTAAAATAAAAAAACCTTTAGAACTACAGATGCAGAAAATAGACTATCAGTGTGTCTGTCATACATTAAGCGTGGTGGTAGTGAGAGCTTACGAGCTACAGACATTTTAGCTATTTCATTTTTTTTTTGTATTCATAGCGCCTGCTATATACCGGTGCTCACTGTCACCTTTATTCATAACATGCCCTATTACCTCGCACAAATCGGCAAAACTTGCCGTATCGGTATCAGCTAGGTCTGCCCAAAAGATGAAAAGCGACTCCTCAAGCCAAGGTGGTAAAGTTCTTTTCTTTTCCTGATAAAAACAAAAAAATAATAAATTGCCATTTCCAATGAAGTGACGTCATGTATTGGACACCATGTGATTTTATTTTGTTTGTGACGTCACATATTTAGCATTGTTTGCGTGACGTCATACATTCAAATGACGCAAAAATGCCATGTCACGGTGTCACATATAATTATAAACTATGTTAACTAGTTCTGTCGCTCTGAGATGAAGTATTTTAAAATAAAGCTACCATATGCAATACCTGTAAATTTACTTTTTCACAACTCACCTGTTTTTTATCTCCATTCCCACCAAACGGTTGTAAAAGTGGTATGATGAAATGTTCCTCCCTGTGTTGGATCACAGCAGCATAAGAGGCCTTATTGGTAGCCGTGAGCAAACAAACAACTTAATTGATTGATAAATTAAAATAAATAAATAAATATATAAAAAGGAAGAAAACATAAGCGGTATTGCATTAAAGGTATAAATAGTTCTAGTAGAAATGTTTGACTTCATTTCAGAATCATGAACTGCCGCCGATTGAAACCTAGATATGGGTGTTTCTTAAGAAAATATGTTATTTACAGCACAGTAGCATATTCAGAGCATATAGATTGCACTCAGCATATGGTCTATAGTAGTAATATGTGTGTTTAACATTCAAGTTTAGATATAGGTTATTTTGGCAGGTCCATAATTTTAATTAGTTAAAAACTAAAAGACTGCAATGAAGGCAACTGTATTGTCTGTGTTGACCTTATCTCGGCAGTTATAATACATGATTGACTAACTGACTTTACCATGAGTATATCAAATAGAATACGGTCAATGTCAAGGTCACCACGGAGGTTATTCAGCTCAAGACGAGCCTCTTTCCATTGTATGTTCTTTAGACTTAAGTATTCCTCCTTTGCAGCATGGACACGCATTTGTTGGCCTGCCACTGTCCGCGTGATCGGATCACTAGAAAAAAGAGGAGAAAATCCATGTAAGCAATTTTTAAAATTAAAATTGATAGAGGTTATTTCAAAGTATACTTTCACTTTCACATACATGTACAGTCTTTGTCATCCGACCAATTTTTTAAATATCTTTTTATATCCTGATAAATAAGAAAAATACATGTAAGCTAAGTATCTATAGTTATCTTAATTTGTAGAGGTAGACAGAATAGCGTGGTGTCGCAGAAATATTAATGAAGGGAAAGAAACATTTCAGAGTAGCTCGAAAAATACAGTGTATAACTTAAGTTGGCCTTTTTTCACCTAAAATGCTTCCGAACTCAATCTTATTCCCGAGTATCCTAATCCTACCTATTACGTGTAGTATCTGATTCCTTTGATTTCAATCTTCTGTAGACATTGGTAAAAGTGATTTCATGTCCTGTCAACGAAGGCGTGTAAGAGACCCGTACGAAACCACCCCGTCTTTCAGAGCGCCTAGATGTTGCTGTCACTCTCGTTGCTGTCGGTGTCGGTCCATCTTTGTTCTTGGTGGTGATGACGTTTTCTGGATGAGTTGTTTTTTCTTGTGCTTTGATGAGATTGTTTTGAGCGGGACTCGGCTTTGGGTTAGTGGTAAGAAACTGAGCATTAGGTTTGAAAATTAGTTTGAAAAAAGATCTAATGCTCGTCGTCTCCTTTTTTTCGTCCTTCTCTTTCTGGCTCAACCTTACATTTGCATTATTACCTGGAGTAGACGTGTCAGTGCCATTGGGTTGAGTCTTAGTTAAGCCAGGGCCAGCAGCCGTGAAGCTTATTATATGGCTGGCAGACGCTGGCGTGTAACTAACCCGCATTAAAAGGTTTCTTTTCTTGGCGTTTTCGGAAGAAGAAAATCCAGCTCCCATTGCAGTAGGTGTTCGAGCAGTCACTTTAAAGATTGCCCATGCGGCACAGTTTCCCGTTATTTACACACGTGTATGCACCAAATTCAAGATCACAGGCCTTTCTACATGTCCACAGAATATACGTACCTTTTATAGATGATTTTTCACTATTCACTGCACGCTCTCATAATCAAGAGATATGTCAATGCGATAGGTAATGTTGATATGTAGTAAATGTACCTTCATATACTGTATATATGCACTACGTGGGTTAGAGGGGGTATCGATGTATATATCGGCTATCAGTAATTGAATTGCGCCATCAATATACCTGTGCGTTAATTATCGATCATACTTGATAAACTTGGTGATCTCACTTTTGTATTCATACATATAACATAGGGCTACAGCTTGTGAACGCTTTCTGTCACGTGGTGCTATAGGTCACATGACATACACGCGCTCACTGGAGGACCCAGGGTTTTACTTGGGGGAGGACCAGGGTTACAATGACAAATATTTTTTGCTGTAGAGCCGAGAAAGAACTGCACCAAATGCATATCGCATATAGCATATTATTTTATATGGGGAGGGGGGGGGAGCGGAGCTTCCGAAGCTGTGTGGGTATGTGTGTGTGTGTGGGGGGGGATAGTAGGGCTTGCCCGTTTCGTCCCCTAGACTTGTTCTTGTTCATAAGATTCACTCCTTTGCTTATCGGCAATTAATGGTATATTGCTTTTGTCGTTTTTGTTGTCACACAGTCATCTTTTCAGCTAGGTGTATGTGTATTCAACCACTGGAATGAAAATTTCACAGGGCAAAAATGAAGCCATTTGCACATAATTAAAATGAATTTCCACCCACTCCCAGTTCATTTATTTTAAAAATCAAAGCACCCATCTCTTTCCTCCCTAGATGAATAAAATACGATACACCTTACCAGGGTCATTCCGCAAAAAAAGGAAATCTGAGTCACATCAGCGACGCATGCATTATAGATGAGTAATATTTTCATAGCTGTTTCATATCACTATCTACAGTTGATTTTTTTCAGACTGAAGGGTATAATGATATAAAACATTAAAATGAATTGAGTGAGTCAGTATTATAGAAACATTGCACAACGTGTGTGCGTCACTGGCGTGACTCAAGAGTTCACTTTTTAGTGGTGGTGGTGTTCTTCACTGACAGTCTGAGAGCGAGGAAGAAACTCGTCAAACCCTTGACCTATTCTTCTGCTTTTATATAGTTATAGCATAAAACTACTTTTTGTTTGGTGGAGAGGGGTTGTCCTCTATCGAGTCCTTCTGTGCTTTAATACTTAAACCTGCTCACGTGCCCTCCCTTTCCATTCAAAGTGTCTCTCAGACACGTTTTGTCCAGTATTGAGTGCACACGCACCTGAACAGGTGTGGTATATTACTTATAACACCGGAGTTAAATGACGTGTAAGGTGCATAATGAATTTTAGGCCTTACCATGTTGGTTTATTTATTTATTGTAGGGTACACATCTACATGGATACAATGAAAATGTACAATAGAGATACCTTTAGAAATATACAGTTATACAACTATAAATACTCAAATAATGAAGATACTCATTGCTGGCCCCGAATGGCTCTTACTATTCATGCGACACTGTCTTAGAAATTTCTCCTAACTAGGGCATTAGTGAGGTACTAAGCTAATATAATCAGGAGTTTGTTCTCTTTGCATTTAAGAATAATGATATTTTTTCATCTATGATTATCCTTCGGCCACGTTTTATATGGTATTTTGATCTTTACATAGGAAGCTCGTCCCGAGGAAGTGTTTGTAGATCGTAAATTTCTCCACGGTTTTTAATAGAGCATAACTAAGCGATTAAGGGGAAAATGTCAGTAATTTCCAAGAAAAATCCATTTACAATACAAAAAAGCCTAACGCGTACCTTGAAGTATTATTATTCAAAGACATCAAAGTGTGCAGATTCTGAGTGTCATAGTTCACTGACGTCTCTAGTACATCTAAGACCCTGTTCCCATACCTACAACGATCTAGCAGGATCGAGCCATTTCCGAGGGGTTTCCCGGTGAATTCCATTTAGCTTTAGCGGCTTAGATGTCTGGCACGCCAGACTGAAGCTCTTTAACGATATTGTTAAACAATAATTCACAAAAGAGCTTTGTCCTGGAACTAGGTCTACTGTAATTTAAGGTCAATACATACATGTACGTAGTACACTGAAATAAAGCGAGAATTGGCTTGTATCTGACGCAATATCTTCCGCGTTACAGGGGCTGATCCAGAGATATTTTCTGACAGTCTTCCAAATTATCTTTGTTGATCCATCCTCCATTTTTGACCGTCTTCCGACAGAAAAAATTAAATACCCGTCAATGTAAACTTGAAAATATGACCGTCTTCCGGAAGACCCTGAAGACGGCCTAAATCCGACCCTGCGTTATAACACCACCACAATGTTTAGTTTGATAGAGCTATAGTGCTGATCTAATCTGGGTAGAATTCGAGTACTTGCTCATTTCCAATAAAACTATCGCCCTACGTGGATCACAACCACGCGGGGACTCTCGCTGAATGCAGTCAGATTAACTGATTAACACGCCTCCTTCTGTCGTTGAGTAAAATGCAGAGAAGGTGATAATTATATAAGTACGTTGAAAACGTAATCAAAGCTGACCAAAACTGAATACCAGAAAAATGTGCACTTAGTAAAAGGAGAGAACATCCTGTCCTGATTTCAAGACAAGTTGTATCTACCACTACAGGTGTTAAATGTTATATCATTTTTCACACGATAAAAAAGTAAATGCGCACAAAAAATCCCATTATCGGAATATGTACCGCCATGAAAAACAATTAAAATATAAAGGCAATGAACGCTTTTAATGCGCCTAGGGCGGGATGAGGCTTCATACTAGAATATACATCTGTGAGTACTGTACTAACACTGGAGCCAAGAATCATATGATTATAAGAAGAAAAACAAACATTGGAACAATTCTTTTGTACATCCGCTCCACATAAAGGCTCACTTAATAGCAGGTGTGGTCACAGTCTGAGGCTTTCTTGTGATCACATGAGCAAATATCACTATATATAGATCTAACAATGCGGGTATTGGAATGCGCCATGTCACTAGGCTGACTCGTATGTGTTGTTCTATATACCCTGACTTCGGGGACTTCGGGGACTTCATAACTGCATGAGAAAATGCCAACATGAGTGAATTTAACTACACGAGGACGGTAGAGTAGCGAGAAGCTGATCGGCCATTCATTCTTGTTATTTTAAGCGTTAAGGCGTCAAAGGCATTATGTCTACAAATACCTGGTTCACCCGCACCGTATTTTTGATGTTATGTGTCAGCGCCGGCATCCTGCTACGATTGTCTTGGGGAGGATCGAACAATCGGCCCAGTACGCGTGGATTGTTGATAGCAGATACGAAAGGTAGGCTGCGTCTTTGTGATTTGCAATGATTTAAAACTTGCTTGAAAACCACAAGGCCACTTAAACTGAAAACACCACAGGTAAGCTATGCTTGTGAAACCGAAACTGCAAGCAGACATGTATAGCCGCCCTTTTGGTCTACCCCCCTATCACGACCACTGGGTGTTACCTTTCGAGCCTCCACAGAGCAGTGTGTGTGTGTGTGTGTGTGTGTGTGTGTGTGTGTGTTCGTGCCTGCGCGCGCCCCACATATACAATGATGGCCCCCAAGCCTTAAGGTACATCTTAGGGTGCGTTCCCCATGAAACTAACGTTCTACGTAGATCAAACCGACTCCACGGGGACTCTTGCTGAATGTTGTCAGATTAACTGAATGGCACATACGCCTCTTTGAGCAGGTAAGTGGCGATAAACATTATATTAGCGTGCGGTTGGCTTTGGGAAGGTTTTTCACTTCATTTTGAGTGCAAAACAACGCACACGCTGTTACTTCGAATTCTCCCCTAGCTGGTCGACGAGGTGTGTCATTCAGTTAATCTGATTGCATTCAGCAAGAGTCCCCACGGAGTTGGATCGATCTACCTAGTATGACAGTTTCACTGGACGTGCACGCCACCCTTAGCCAACACTATGTATAGAAGCAAGTCCTAATCTGATTTTACTATAACACCTATATGTATAGATCTATTGTATTCACGCCACATTACGTGGCGCAGTAGACGTGTTGTTACAGGCATCAGTAAGATGGGAATGGAAGTCGGCTAGGAACCGTAGACCGTTCCCCATTACTTTCGTCCCATATACTAACCCCATTTCTTTAACTAACCCTAACCTGTACTAATCATATTGGAGCCCAATCTGCCCATTCTTATGACTACCATTCCTTTCACACATGTATACACTGGCTACAATAAACGTTGAACACCTGATTTATCTCCTATGATTTATTAATTTATTTGTTTGTTTGTAGTAAACTGGTATTTTTCATTAACTTTCTGGAGAATCGTTCTAAGTTAAATGTACACAGAAGAATTAAAATATCATAAATGTTCTAATTAAAACTGCATGCAAATTGACGTTTATGGATACCAGTAGCTGCAGGCTTCGTTAGTGTTGTTTCTGCATGGTGATATTGAAATATAAAACCATATCATCTCGTACGCTTCGTAAACCTTGAAAACAATCAAGGTAGTATAAAAACCAACAGCAGTGACATGGCCTAGATATTTTTATGGTAAATCTAAAATCATACGCATGCTAGCTCTTTCAGTTGACGACTGCAGTAGATAATTCGAAAATAATTGTTTACGAATAGCGTTGATTTCAGATATGTTGTGCTTGTTTTAAAACCCATCGGGGAGGCTTGAAAGAAAACTTGAATTATCAAACTATAGTGTTTATTTATTTATTTATTTATTTATTTATTTATTTTTTGTTTATTTGTTTATTTATTTATTGTTAAAACCATTCTCTTGGGACCCCTTGTATTGTAAGTGGCAGACCCATTTGCAGGAAAATGTTTATCCCTTCATTTTATATTAACTCCTCTTCACTATACGTATACCAAAGGCAGATCGGAGGGGGGGGGGTTACATCGAATACAATGTAAGCCCTGCTGTACCCCTACTATAACTTTCGGAGTACCCCCTCTCCTTCCTAAAATGGTTAACCTTCATATTAAACTTGAATTATTATTATATTGACATAAAACTAATATACTACAGTGTTTATATTTGGTCGAACATATTTCGTGAATTTTTTTCCTTGCCCCCCCCCCTCTCGTAGTTGTTCGCTAAGCGTATGTTGTTCAAATTTCCAAAACATTGCACTGTTTTAAATAGTACTGTACCTAAGAACTTTCTTCTCTGTTTAGAACCAGCTTCAACCAATGCCACAGGAGACACATACCCAAGGCAGGACGAGTCCCAAACTGACATCGTCATAGTGCTCGCCTATTACAGGAGTGGATCAACGTTCTTAGCGGAGATATTTAACCAGAATGCAGAAGCTGTGTACTTCTTTGAGCCTCTGCGATGGTTTAGAGAATCATTCTTCAATGAGACGTTTTATATCTACCCTGGCAATACACGAAGGTAATTTGTGCTCTCTCCTCTTTTCTTTTTATCTCTTTTTATTCTCATTTTCCTGTCCCAAGTGTGCTTTAACAGCCCAATGTAATAGCAACGGAAGGAACACTTTTCTTTTTATACCATGTAAATTCTTTGCTGTTTGAGAGGCTTCTCTTATATTTCAGAAACACCTAACGCTTCAATCAAAATAATTACAAAACTGTCATAAAAAGATGAATTACATATTGCATTGCATGTGATATTTTAATCATTAGCCGATGTTGTAAAAAAAATACTCATGTGCACAGTCTGCGCAGATTGCCAAAAAAGCTAATATAACAGAGACTCCTTAAATTAAGTATTATGTTGTTTGGGGCAATATATATATATNATTTTTTTTTAAATAAAGGTATTAATTGAAATTCAGTAATCAAAATCCCTTTATGCTCTTTGTATAGTAATCGAAAGCGTAGAGTCAGCAAACATAAAAAGGTGCTTAGCAACAAAATGTATAACAAAATGCCAGTGAGACCCGTAGCTTTCATAAGATAGCTACACAAATGTATGGCAACCTGAATACCATTGGCTATTTACACAATAATAGTCATTAAAAGTAAAAAATTCAGTGAGAAGTGGACATAAAAATGTATAATGAGATTTGCATCCATGTTTCCTATTGAGAAACAAACAGAAGGCATATAAATGGAGCTTAAGGTCATCAAAGAGAAGCATGCTTTCGTATATTCTTGTTAAACACTACCATGTTTGGCCATTCAATTTTTATTTTGTATTGGCACTGGAGCTGTGGGACCAGTGTCAGATATGTGTCCCAAAGATGTTTGGCCAATGTGGTAATGGTTTCATTCACAGTTGCTTATTACTATGCATGTGTTTGCGTTTATAGGTCTGGCATAGGTCTGCCCATAGATTGCACAGTCTTGATGGGATATTCCGAATGATGGTAAATTCCAAAGGAGTATTACATGTATGATTTCAATAAGTTCAAAATAAGACAGAATGTTGCTTATAACCATTCATCAATGTCTTAATTAGTATAATTCCTTATTCTACCCTCAAGTTAAAGTATAATGGGTGATATTTTATACGATGGGGTACTTTCTAGTGATAAATTATGAATAAACTTTAAATTGTAAACTTTTTTATGTTTTTTTTTGCTTTTAAAACAACAACAGCCTCTGTAGTTACAGTGGTCCTCATCATAAGGACTTTGCCCTTGAGTTAAAGGTTTATCCTACTGGACATCACCTTGTACAGTGTAGGGTGGGGGGATCCTTGATCCTTAGAAAAAAAAAAAAAAAAAAAAAAAAAAAAAAAAAAAAAAAAAAAAAAAAAAAA